CACTTCCTGTTGGAGCTTCCTGCTGTCGGGGAGACGGTACAGGACCATCAGAACCAGGACTGATGGACTGAAACACAGCTCCTGTCCAACTGCTGTCAGAGCCATGAACACCTCCTTGTTGTAATAAGTGCAATATATTGTAGATATGCAGCTGCTGCTGCCTCTGGGCAACATGCACCGCGTTCATGCTTATTATTTAGCTTCATCTTTATATATGGAGTGTATATATACATATATATATATATATATATCTTTTATATTGTATATAGTTGTTTACAAAGGTTTTATATTTTTTTGCACTGAAAGGCTGCTCCTAACTTTTCGTTGTATTCGTTGCAATGACAATAAAGCGAACCTGAATCTGCTGGAGAGGCGGTTGAAGCAAACAGACTCATGAACGTGCACCGATCGGCCCGTCCAGAAACCACAGTGTTATTTCATTTTATAGTCATTTAGAAGCAGAATCCTGCCGTCAGCGTAGTCTTCATGTGGTTCTGAATGTCCTCCTGTGTCCTGTGTGGTTGCTGTTGTCTGCAAACTTTTTGTGAAGTTGTTCTTTCATCATAACTCAGTTATTGAGGTGGATCTGAATGAAGCGAGTCCATCCTGGTCTGGTTGTTCTCTTTGGTTTCATTCTGGGCTTTTCTGTGTGGTTTTATGTTAAATTAAAGTACTGTTTTTATATTTTTCTAACCATTACGTCTAGAATATGGCATTTCTAACAATTGAATATGTAATTGGATTTCTAGAAAACATCTCCACTGAGAGTCTGGCGACCCCCTGGGGATCTCCTCGCCCCCTCTTTGAACACCGCCGCTCCAGAAGATGCACTCCCAGTAATTAAACCCGTAGCTAACCAGATCAAACGCCGCTTTAACCCGTGTCACCGCGTGGCTTTGTAGTGCTTAATACGCTAAGTGATCCTGCCAGGTCGTTATCACGGGATTATCGTCCTGCCTTCATTCAATAATTCCACCAGAACCGGCACCTGGAAATGCTGAAAAGTCAAAAAACCTGCATCACATGACACCTCTGTGCTTCGTAGAGGAAAAAAAACACCTCCTCCTTGGTCCCAGTTAAAGCTCGCTTCATTTTTATTTATTCATTAATAAGAATTGAGTTTCCCGCCTTGCTTTGTTGTTGTAAACACGATGCTATCTGTGGCCACCGCCCCGGGACGCTCGTACCGGCTACATGCTAACAGACGCCAAGACAAACACATGCACGTTATCTCCTCGCGCTCCTTCTCTTCTCCCGCTTTGATTTTTTATCCCCACATCTGCTCCTCTCACCTCAAGGCGCGAGAAGAACCCTTTTCATTAATTTGTGTTTTCCTTTCTTCCTGGCGCCCTTCATCTGCCTCTCCTGCTCCCTCGCTTTTATCTCCTCCATGCTCTTAATCCTGTTTGTCCTCTGCTCCTCCTCCTCCTCCTCACCTGGTCCTCACCTTCAATATCTGGGTTTTTTATTATTTCAGCCCAGATTGAGCAGGAAGAGGGGAGGGAAAAACTACGAATCACAGATTAAGAAAGCGTGTTTGTGCATGTTTGAGACGGAGATCTCGTTATGTAGAGGCCACGCGGTGGTCCACGGTGGTCCACGGTGGTCCACGGTGGAGAAGGATCAGCGTTAGGCCTCATGTCACCGGTCAGATGTGATTGAACTCTTGAGTGTGTGTGCATCACAGGTTTGTTAGGTGTGTATCTGTGCACTTATACATCATCATGTGTGTTTAGACTTCCTGCTGTGTATGTTCCTGTACATGCAGATCATGTATGAAAGCATGTTCTGCATTGTTACATACATGTGACGCCATGTCTGTGATTTTTCACGCCTGCCCTACATGTTCTTGTGTGCGTCACTGCTTTTATCTTCTGTGTGAATGCAGACGTGTTAGCATGTCCTTTACATCACACACACACACACACACACACACACACACACACACACACACGTACTTGTCATGGTAGCACAGTTTACCTGGAGGCTCGGTGGTATCAGGCTCATCTCTGGTCCACCTGCTGGAGCATCTGTGAGGAAGACGTGTAGCTCCACTACGTTTATAGGGCACGTATTGAAGTCTTTGGTTAAGAACGATGGATGTCTCAGTGGTTAGCACCGTCGCCTCACAGCTAGAAGGTCGCCGGTTGGCGTCCCGGTGAGGACACCCGGGATCTTCCTGCGTGGAGTCTCCATGTTCTCCCCGTGCAGCGTGGGTTCTCTCCGGGTTCTCCGGCTTCCTCCCACAGTCCAGAAACATGCTGAGGTTAATTGGTGATTGTAAATTGTCCGTAGGTGTGAATGTGAGTGTGCTTGGTTGTCTGTCTCTAAGTGTAGCCCTGTGATAGACTGGTTACCTGTCCAGGTGAACTTGCCTTCACCCTGAGTCAGCTGGGATAGACTCCGCCCCCCATGACCCTGGTGAGGATTAAGTGTAGAGATGATGGATGGATGTTTTGCAAAAACCTGTGACTTAGGTCAGGTGTCAGGGCAAGAGGAAGGACACAGGTGGAAGAGGGGTTGTGGCAAAAAGCTCCAACAGGAAGTGTCCCGGGTGGTAGGAGTCCTTCAGGATGGTGTCGGCTCTCCTGTAAGAGCCATGAAGGTCCTCCAGTGTGGGCAGAGGGCCTCCAGTGACCTTCTCAGCCATTCTGGTGACCCTCTTGTAAAAACCAAAGGAGCATGAGGAGCATGAGGAAAGCAAACAGGAGGTGAACCAACATGAAAATCTGAAACTAGACACAAACGAGGAGAACCAGGCAGCTAGCGGGCCCAGCTGGAGACAAGACAGGAGGACAGGGTTGTATAATTACATGGAACCGATTAAATAGACACAGTGACACAGAGACGCAGTGAAGCTGATTAGGCCAATCAGAAGAGGAGGAAAACGCAGACAAAGGAAGGAAGTAGAAGTGCAAGAGAGGACAGGGATCATTACACAAGAAGGTAGGAAGTAACTGAGCAGAACTCAGAGACACGACACAGAGTCCACGTTAGCCGGAGAGGGACGGCGGCGTCATTAGTCAGACACAGGACCCATATAATCATTTTTTCATTTCACTCTCTGTATCGTTGGGTTTAGGTGCTTTTAAGGTACAGATCTGGGTTCAAATATAAATCATTCCCAACATGTATGAAGCGTCTCCTTCATTTTCTGGTCATGACAAGTCCCGTCTCTTCTCATATACGATCTGTTGACTGACCAGGACTGATGGTTGGAAAGCGGGTCAATCAGAATAAAGAGAAAAATCCCTGAAAAATCAAAACCGGTTGTGTGTGAGCATAACTTTGAGGCGACAGGTCTCCCGGCACAAATATACACACTGCTGCATCCGTACCAACAACCTGCTGCCGTATATAACAGCGTCTGACTCGCGGGGAACATTTAAACCAACTTAAACCGCGCCGATGCCAACCGGGCCGGACACGCACGGTGAAATACGTCCGTACAGCGGCGCGCATTCATCCTCTGTTTCTTCTTCATCTTCTCTGCTGGCATCCTGTGTGCTCAGCTTAATGCGGCTGTCGAGTCAAAAAAGGCCACACACACACACAAACACACACACACACACACACTTCCCATCCAGAAGCAGTGAGTCCAGCAAAACACCCTATAATCAGGCTTGTGTGTGTGTGTGTGTGTGTGTGTGTGTGTGTGTGTGTGTGTGTGTGTGTGTGTGTGTGTGTGTGTGTGTGTGTGTGTGTTGGCGGTGATAAATGCCCCCTTTGGAAACTCAATGCCAAATAATCAAGATTGACGCTGGCACACGGCGTTCCGAGGTGTGTGCCGCTTTGTTTGTGCTATTTTTGTGAGAAGGATCTAATCAAATGTAATTATGCTGATTACAATAATCGCAAGCTTTATAATCACCTTCTCTCTCTTTTATTTTTTCTTCTTCTCTCTTCCTTTAAAACTCTGCCCTGGTCTCTGTTCGTTGTTTATCTCTCCTCCTGCATCTTTTCATCTACTTTGGGCACAGATATGCAAAAACTTTACATGTCGGCAGATGAGGGCTCATTTCTGCACGTTGTCTTTATTAATTGTAAATAGAAACGCTGCAGGAGTTCAAAATTGCTCCAGAAAACACATCCGACAACAAAATAAGTTCACAGCAATTAGTATTTAAGTGATATGCAACTTGTAAAGTGTTTAAAGCGACATGACACGGACATCTTTTATTCCTGCATAAAGCCCTGAGCTGCTGTTTGAGGCTGTGCAAACTTTAAATAGTTGTTTCTGTTCAACAACTTGGTTTAAAGGAGGTTGTTTTTTATGATAATAGTAAAAATAATGTTAAGTTTATTGATACGCTACCTTTAAAAACACAAGTTTGCCGTCATTTTTTGGTCGTTATTGGGTTTGTTGATGATGGAAATGTGGTTTAAAAATGTTCCTTAAAAATGTTATAAATAAAAAGTTTTTTTTTTTAAACATGATTTTGGAAAGTTCTCAGCCAGACGAAGCAAAAGCAGAACAACCAGAAGGCAATAATAACATTAAACTAGATGGTGAGGTCAAATAAAGTGAAGATGAAGTTAAAACACAAAGTTTTCTGTCAATTTAAAATAAAATACAAATATAAACTGAAAAAAGAAAAAAAAGATGACATTACATTAAATTAAGTCTAAAAAGCGATTTAAAGAAAAAGTCATTAGTTCTGCGAGCCTCGTCTCAAAGGCACCTTCAGCAGATTTCAGGCTCGGTTCTGGAGCAGCCGGGTCGACCTCCCACCAGGGCCGGCCAGGTGTTGGTCTCTGCTCCTAGCTCGGGGCCAGACGGGCTTTAAATGTGACCGGAAACATCTTAAAATCGGTTCTCAGATGAGCGGGGAAGCCGGGATCGGGACGGCGTGACGTCATCTGATGACTTTGCTCTCAGAGTTTTGGAGCCCAGAGGAAAGAAATGCATGTGTGGCTGTTGTTGTTTTCCAGGTGGGATTGTGGGATGATTGGTTTAAACGATGGGTTTTAACATGAGCTCTCTTCCTTCCCCTCTGCAGGACACGGAGGTGGTGAACACGGCCATTCTCACCGGCAGACGGGTCGCCGTGCCCATCAAGCTGGTTACCGTGGAAACCGACGGGCAGGTGAGGGAGGTGGACGACTCGGTCACCTGCAGCTCGACGGACGTGGACGTGGTCAAGGTACGGACGCACACACAGATGTAGGCGGGAGGGAATATTAAACAAGTGCAAAATGGGCTCCGGCGCTTAACATCTCAAGTCGAGGTCTGGCTGTTACGTTAAATAAGAAACGGCTTCACGGGAACTCGAGAAACAGAGACTGCACGAGGAGGAAGTCACAATGACGGGAGGTAAACTGGAGATAATTTACACAGCGAGAAGTCCATCTTGAATCATCACCGTAATCTAAAATCTGAGAGGATCGTCCTCTGATTCACTTTGAGCAGAAGAACACAAATGGACACTTATCACAGCATGCAGGCCTTTTCTTTTTGTTCTTTTAAACCTTTTCTGTTTTATTAGACGCTGAATGAAAATTGATCAGAGCTGGAGAGACTTTAGGAGCTTTTACAAATCTGTCCACACATGAGCAGCATATTTCTGGTTAACAGGTGATTCGTAGATGAACTTCAAAGCTGACAGGTTGGAGACTTACACACATCTTCATAATCTAAGGTGAAGTGGTGGAGATTTCTGGAAAGACTTGATGTATTTATGACGAACACCCACATGGTGCTGATGCTCGGTGCACACATGTGGACTTCAGCATCAAGTCCTGCAGTGTGAACGTAGCCAATCTGTGGGATTGTTCAGTCAGATAATACGCCGTCATCCTGATTGGTGACATTAAATGTCATGTCGGAGTCACAATCCAAGGCTGTCGCTATGTTAAGGCTGTTTTTATGGGTTCTGTTGGTTTTTCCTACAAACCTGTCAGATAGCAGGTTTAGGATTGTTCAGGGTCGATTATGGAGTCACGACTGTATCTGTAAAAACTACTGAAAGCTGGTGATGTGCAGACTGTCCTGGTGCAGCGCAAGACATTAAAGTCTTTACATTGAACAGAAAGGTGCATGTGGTTCTGAAATATAAGCATCAGCATAATTACACCGAGCAGAGAATATGAATATTTTACTCTATATGCAGAATATACGCGTTTCGTTATCAGTGTTTATATTATTTATTCAACCTGTGTGCTGAGGCCACCGGCGGCGTGAAGGAGACTTAAAAAGCTGTTTTAACATCCATGTGATGAAAAGCTCTGGTGGAATTAGCATCGATGACACGGCGACATAACGACGGTAGTGAGAAGAAACTGCACCAATCACAGCTCAGGGTTTCATTTCAACGCGAGTCACATGACTCCACGTCGCTGCCGACTACAGCGCAAACAACCCACATACGAGTTAACACAACAGTCTGTAGTTTCCACAGACAGCAGGACACCGAGGCCCAGAACAAGAACAGAACATGTTGGACTGTCGGGCTCTTCAGTCAAAACACGAGCTCACTGCTGTGGTGCTGATGAGGTTCTTCAGCACAAACGATGAGCCAGAAGCCCGACTGCGACTCCACACTGATTGGTCGGCCGACTCTCTCTCTCACCGTTTCCTCAGTAATGTTCTTTTAGTGAAACCGGGTTAAAGGTTCTGTGTGCACACAAGTCCAATTTCTAAACTTTGTGTGTCATCAGAATTGAACTTTCCTGTAATCATTTCTTGCTTTTAGCTCAGTTCCTTCCACAAGAAGGCTGGAGGTCGGCTAAAGCAGCTGGACGGCGTCCAGCGTCTGACCCGGCGACTCTTCAGCAGAACGGCCGGTCGCTAGCTTTCACATTCACGGGCCCTGAGCCACTCAGGCTGACCACAGAACTACTGTACTAATTAATAAAGCAGGAATACCTTTAAAACCTTCAGAGAAACACGTCGGTACGAGGGAGTGAAGATTGATTCCTCCGGTGCGGCGCTCCCTGCGCCCTCGGGGGCTAAAATGAAACGCACTCTTGTTGTGACAGTTTCAATATGAAGCCAATTTCCTGGTACAAGCCGACAGGAGTGCTGCTGTTTAAGTACAATCAATAACAACACGGTGAAAGTGGAAGGAACTCATTCAGATAAATGCTATGCCGGTGCTCTGTGGAGGTGTGGGTCTCCGGGGCCAGCGCTCAAATTTCTGTCAAATTTGCTCAAATTCATATCACCTTCATCAAAAACGTTTCACAAGCAGCCGGCTTCACGTTCAACGCAGCTCAAAGAACAGACGTAATCAGCGGCTTAAATCACACCAGCATGTGTTGATTTACCCTGCAAGGAAACTCAGGCAAATTACTTCAACATCCTCTTTACATCATATGCAGTGAATCATCAGTAAAACGAAGCGATAACGTGCAGAATTAGTTAAAAAATAAAAACTACTGCTGAGCAGAAAATAAAACGTGTTTTCGACAACAGCATCCGTCAAATAAAGACAGAGGTTTCCTCGTCACATCTCCGCTGCTGATATTTTAATTATGGTGCACAGAAAGTGTCGGATATGGAGAGAAACTCCGACACATTAGCGCGCTGACGTTATGACAGGAGCTGGTGGCGGCGCAGCTCCTCTCAGCTGATGCTGTTTGTTTGTGGAGAAGTGAAGTCTGCTCGTCGTGATTGAGTGCTAGAGAGCTGTTGTTGTTTGTTGACATCTGATCTGACAGATATTCCCTCTCTCGCGTTTCCTCCTCACACACACACACACACACACACACGCCGTGTTTTAGCACAAACAGCTGTTTGACAGTGGCGCCCACAGGGTACGACTCCAGGTAGCTGTAGCTGTCAGTGAGGCACCATGACAGGTGTAAAGTACCGTCCAGAGAGCAGGTAGAGCACACGGAGGGCTGCTGTGCCCTGAGCCCAGGCTGGAAGGCAGCACTTACTCACAGGCCTCGTGCAGATTCTGCCCTTTGTGCCAGACTTGTCAGACCTCCAACAAGTGGAGCTCCTGAAAATACAACCAGATACAGCCCTGGTTTATAAAATGACATCGCTACTCAACTACAAACGTGTTTTCTCCCAGTATGACATCGTAGGAAACAAAGTCCACCTCAG